CACACACACACACACACACACACACACACACACACACACACACACACTATATGATGTTTGCTAGCTTTTATCCCACTGTTCTTGTCATCCTCTTGTTGTTATGTCTATGTATTGTCTAATATTGTCTCTTGTCTTTCAATAAAAAAATATAAAAAAAAAAAAATAAAAAAAAAAAGATACTCAATGCATACTAAAACAGTTTCAAACTATTATTTGCCAATACTGCTTTCCTCACATCTTTGTAACTGCACATGAGAGTCACTTTGCTGCAGCAGTGGAACACCAGTTCTAGTATTTCTCAAAGATTTCAGAGATAGGCATTTTATTTTGGTAAAAATAAATGAAACATTTGTGCACTTACATGCTAGTGGCACCTTTTCACTTAATGATTTGTAATATGCCTCTAACATCTCAAAGTTCCTCTGGTTTATTCTTTCCTGTAGAGAGATATCTCCGAACCTAAGAGGATGAAGAGAATAAGGACGGTTATGGTGCAGCATCACCAAGATGCTCAAGAAAATGTGCCGAGCGGTGATTGCTGTGTTCAGTTCAAAAAAAAAAAGGTTATAAAACATGAAAAAAGTTGCTTTTTCAAAAAAAGAATACCTAAACATTTTCAACCAGTTAACATAAGTAAATGCAACATAGTTACATTTTAAACAATTATTTGAGTGAGTATGCCATTAAAGGTTCAAATGTCTCCAGCGCAGAAAGATTTTTGAATTTAATTTCTGGAATAGATGCACATTAGTTTATGACCACACTGGCCTTGTTTAACATGTTCACACAAAGAGCGCTTGTAAGTAAGTTCAACAGATTGTGGTGAACAACGACTGCAGTACCTCTCTGCTATTGTTTGCTGTTCGTTGATGCCCACGTTAAACAGCACCGGGAATACTCGTAGAGGCTTGCCCTCCTTGATCTCCTCTGGCAAGGTCTGGAAAACCAGTCTTGGTAATGGCACTTCGACAGTGAAGTGGTCTCTGAATGCAGGGAAAGAAGAAGAAAAAAGAAATTCAACACATTTTGCAATTCTGTAGAACCTGATGAGTTTGGGAAGTTGTGCAATTTGACGCTTAAGACAGGCCTGTACAAGCTATACAAAGAGAGACAGATTGCGTGTATATGCATGAGAGAAAGAGTTTGATTGTGTGAGACAGATTGCCTTACAAGAGGATCATCTTATCACACTTAGCATAATGCGCACATTTACTAGCTCAAATCAACTGGCTTGATGTTATACAGCCATTACAGTGAGCCAGCATGCACAATTTCCAAGGGCTTCCAAGGTGCAAAAGTCTGAGCTACATCCTTATTGCCAGCTGTACAGAAGAGCTGTCCTGCAAAGTGAGGTAGACCAAAAGATCCTCAAAAGCTAGACATCATGCTGCGATCCAAAGAAATTCAGGAACAAATGAGAAACAAAGTAATTGAGATCTATCAGTCTGGAAAAGGTTACAAAGCCATTTCTAAAGCTTTGGGACTCTAGCGAACCACTCTGTGGACTGACGAGACAAAAGTTGAACTTTTTGGAAGGTGTATGTCCCATTACATCTGGCGTAAAAGTAACACAGCATTTCAGAAAAGGAACATCATACCAACAGTAAAATATGATGGTGGTAGTGTGATGGTCTGGGGCTGTTTTGCTGCTTCAGGACCTGGAAGACTTGCTGTGGTAAATGGAACCATGAATTCTGCTGTCTATCAAAAAATCCTGAAGGAGAATGTCCGGCCATCTGTTCGTGACCTCAAGCTGAAGCGCACTTGGGTTCTGCAGCAGGACAATGATCCAAAACACACCAGCAAGTCCACCTCTGAATGGCTTAAGAAAAACAAAATGAAGACTTTGGAGTGGCCTAGTCAAAGTCCCGACCTGAATCCAATTGAGATACTGTGGCATGACCTTAAAAAGGCGGTTCATGCTCGAAAACCCTCCAATGTGGCTGAATTACAACAATTCTGCAAAGATGAGTGGGCCAAAATTCCTCTACAGCGCTGTAAAAGACTCATTGCCAGTTATCGCAAACGCTTGATTGCAGTTGTTGCTGCTAAGGGTGGCCCAACCAGTTATTAGGTTTAGGTGGCAATCGCTTTTTCACACAGGGCCATGTAGGTTTGGATTTTTTTTCCCCCTTAATAATAAAAACCTTCATTTAAAAACTGCATTTTGTGTTTACTTGTGTTATTTTTGTCTAATATTTAAATTTGTTTGATGATCTGAAATATTTAAGTGTGACAAACATGCAAAAAAATAAGAAGTCAGGAAGGGGGCAAACACTTTTTCACACAACTGTAAAATAACCTGGTGTTGTGAAAACACTCGATTTCTTACTATGTGACAGTCCAGACATCATATTCTTGTCAAAGAGGAACTGGCTGCAACTCCTATAACTCCGTCCAGTTGTAATTAGCTAATGATCGACAGAAACCTTTCTACAGTTTGAGTATACAGTCAGTGATTGTGCAGAGAATGTTATAGTCTGTGACTATGATGTTGTTAATCAGGCAATATGGGAACAATGTTCTAACACACCACACATAGTGAGTACCATCTGAGTACTTGAGAACCAGCATGTTATAGTTACTAAAAAGGTCTTACACACTTATTGATAGATGCGTCAGATTAAAACTTTGATCGAGAAAAAAACAAAGTTTGCACACTAAACTCACTTTCTTAAAAACGTTCCAGTCATGTATTCATATGATCATATGCTGGATTTCCACTGTAAGAAAGATTAAGGAAATTACACAATATTAACGTAGTTGGGTTTTGTTTTCTGAGAAAAAAAAAAAATGATTGGACCTGTAAAATAACTCTCAAAACTAAAATATGTTAATTTAATGAATTGCTTGATTTAAATGCTTGTCAAGAGACTTACAAATAAAGCTCTAGCGTAAGTTCAGACAGGACAGTGTATTTACTATACATCTGCCATCACTCCTCGTGCAAGCACACTCATTATTTCCTTGCTGTTATTGTTTGGGGCTGTCAATCATGGTATCAGCTGTCTAGATCAGCTGGTGTCTCTATCCAATAGCACAATGACACAATTACATCGTTAGCCTATGATCTTGCAGCTGTCTCTCTTAAATACGATTGTCTCTCTACCTTCAGTACATTCATGCTGCTGTTGCGCAACCCTCCACCTCCCCATCTCCGCAGATTCATCAGCGTCATCAACTCATCATTCTATCAACCTCATCAGCCACCATCACCACCAGTGTCTGGACTCCACGGGGAGATTTATCTTGTTGCCGCTCAGTACAATCACAACTCGATCACAAATCTCCTCGTCGAGTTCAAGCGCCAAAGAATTTCTGTGTCACTCATTAATCACTATCACCTTTTATGTTACTTCCTGTGTACCCCTAGGCACACTATATAGGCCGTAACATGCATCATCTGTCATAATAAATGTTAACTACTAATCATTCACTTGTCTCAGTTCCTTATAATGTAGCTAATAATGTATAATGTCACTACTAGCATAGTAGCGCAGTTCTATGCTAGTACTAGAACAGGTTGTAGTACTCAAGAGGCTAATTGAACATGTTAGATTCAGGCAAAGAAAAGCAAGCAGAGAAGGAGATGATGATGTCTCACCGTCGGCCACACACTAAAGGCTGGAGGTCACTGAGGTTGTCTGTCTTGGCCTCTGTAATCTGGAACAGGACTCTCTGCAGGTCTGAGATTCCAACCTCCATGTCCTCCAGCATCCCGATCTCCTCACCTTAATCAGTTCAACAAAACAATATTAGTCGTGAATTAATCCTTGCTTGTCAAATGTCTTTTTAGTTCTTCAAAATTAGGTGAGCTCGGCTCAAATTTTAAAATGTCAGAGGGTTAAAACTGGATGATGAATATAATTCAGAAACTGCACACATTTTATACTACAGAGATGTTGTTTTCATCATAATAAAAGGTTAAAGCATTAGCTGTCTTCCAGCTGTTAATTCTGCTGACCAGTCCATTGCACTTCCTTGAGAGCTGCAAACTAACATGAATGAGAACTTTGATCACGGACCTGCAAATAACTAGAATAGATCTACTCATATCTACAGGGAACTCTCTTCAAATCAGTCTCTAATCTCTATTTTGATCTGTTCAGAATCCATCCATGACACTCTGGTCAACCTTCACCTGGAACATGTTGTTTAAAACACAACAATATAAAGGTGCAAGTAATAAAAAACTGCAGTGACTCATCATCTTGCTACATAATTTGTTACAGCTTCACATTTACTCATCACATTGCTCAGGCTCGCCCAAACCAAACTAAACCAAACCAGACCAAACCAAACCACTCTTTTAGGTTTTGCCTTTCTAGAAAGCAAATGAAAGTGAACAACTGTGTTCAGTGGAGGTTTTGAGTTCAGATTTTATCTTTGAAAATGTACTCACTGTAGGTGCTGAGCAGACTCTCAAACTGGGCCACCAGGCCAACCAGGTGGAGCTGCCTCAGGAAGCCTTGGTCCTGCATTCCTGCATACAGCCTCATAACAAAACCACAGGCTAGGGCTGCCAGCTGCCACACACACACGCACACACACACGCACACGCACTTCTTTGACATTTGAATTTACAGATTGAAAGAGTAAGTTTTGTTTTACTAGGGATGTTTTGCAGTATTATCTCGGTGTGGCTACCTACTGCCTGACTGAAGACCACATCTCGCCTCTGTTGGAGGAGGAAGCCCTGTGGAATGCTGCAGGCTGCCTCCTGCAGGAGCACAAAGGTCATGGCTCTCTTTGCCTTCTCCACCACCTCCATCACACACTCCTTTAACCTGGTCACCAGAGGACACAGCTGCTCCCTCCAGTCACCTGCAGAGAAAAATTGGATAAAAAAATTGGATAAAAAGGTGTAGACGGAGATAAGACACTAGTGACGTGGTTGTATTAGAGTATGTCTTAACACTTGTGCTCGCTGCCAGAAACAACACACAGCTTACCTGTAAAGTGAAACCGGTTTATGTTTGCTTGAAAGAGGGGAAGGAATTACCGGAAAGACAAACACAAAACAAAAACAAAAAACTTCAAGCTGTTTAAAGAGGAACCAGAGGAACCACATACAAAAACATTGCACATACAACTTTAGATGAAAATTAAATAAAACTGGTATACACAGTATAGTCATGAAATTATTTATTGTATTGTTAGGCACAGCGAGCAAAGGCAAATGATTGGCTAATGCATGATATCACTATTGTATCTTTGAATCAGTGAATGTCTTTTACTGCTAAGTGCTGTTGTGTCCTTAAGGGAAACACTTTGGGCACAAGCACAACAAAAAGCGCAGGTCACAGGCTGTATGGGTGTCTCCAAGCACACCTGCTAATTTGGTACATGTACGTGCAGCAGTGTAAAGTGTAAAGGGTGGGTTGAAGTATAATTATAGGAAGGTGTGGTGATATTTATAAATATAAATACACATCATTGACGTCATAGCTCTGAAACAGCTGTGCCAATCAATGAAGTATGATATCAACAACAGCTCTATGCTCCTCCAGGAAATTATATTGTTGACTGGATAGTGGCACAATGTGAACATACAGCACCACAAATCTGCAGCCAAAGGCAGATGGTGTGAAGTTTTTAACAGTTAATTAGTACGCTGACGAAAGAAAGAAATCATTTAAAAAAAAAAAAAAAAATAGTTTGTTGAAGCCATTTATATGATCGCATTATTCAACGCTATTTCAGTCCTAATTCTGCACTACATTACGTCCTAAATGATTACATCGTATTGTAATTGATATGACGTACCTACATTTCAAGAATAAAACATAGAACACTTTGTCATGTCTCCCACATAAACACGCAAAAAAAAAATAGTTATAACCAACCACAGCTTCCTCTACTGTCACGCATTCACTTTCTTGGTGTGCCTGTGAAGGGGGGGCAGGGACCGGTGACAGTCGTTAACAGTCACAACAATTTTAAATTAGAAATGATGTCAGCTATTGGTTGCATTTGAAGCAGGGAGATTTACATCCAATCACAGTAATGACGTAAAACAAATGAATCTGAGAATGGCCAGGTAATTTAGTGATATCCCTGCAGTTGTGGTCTTGACTGGCCTTGAAATAGATTCAAAAAGTCCTCTTTGTCTGAGACAAAGCCGAGGTAAAATTGCGTTGATTCACAAGAAGTAGTTTATGATTTAGCAACATACTATCTGTCCTGCTGCCTACAGATGGCTGTGATTTCATGGTGATATGCATTTCCTCCATCCAAAACAAGTTTCTGATGATCTGCTCTCAAGCCAACAGGGGGCAGTGTTGGTTAAGCAATTAGCAAAACTAGTTTCCCACCGAGCATTTGGTTCAACTTCAACATATTTAAAAGTTCTAGGGGATGGGGGGCTGGATTAGTGTGGACAGGCACACACACAGGCAAACAAAAGCACAGTTGGATTCCACCAATAATGTATGGCACATCAGCCTTGCCCATGCCAGAAAAATCATGTCTTATCTCGTTCTGCAAATACCGCCTCTGCACAAAGAAGGAGAAACAGAACTCCAGCTGTCATCTCTTCGCCAGCCCACCTGTCCAAACATCAAAACCCCCACAAAGTCTTGTCATCAGACGCCCGGGCTTCGCCGGTCTCCGCTAGGAGATAAAGCCTCTCTCATTATTCTGTCCATGTTTGTATTTAGACAGGCAGATGACCACTTGCTCTGAGCCTGTTCAGCGTCTTAATAAAGGTGCTCGGGGGGGGGTTGAGCTTCTCTTTCAGACTGAACACCAGGTGGATGGCCTTTTTCCTATCTGCCAGCTCATTTGAACAGATAGATGCAGGCAGAAACACATGGACACAGAGGCACAAAATGATACAAATGCTTGCGTGTGCACACGTGC